ATACAATTAAACGGTAATCGAAAATTACCAAACTGCAGATTCTGAAAATTGTTGATATGAGCAAAAAAATCATTGATTTGAAATATGGTTTTTTTATAAGTATTACCTACGCCGTGAATGTTTTTGAATTTAAAACACGAGAGCATCGTGTTAAACTTAATAGTATCACATATTGTAGAAAAAAAACAATATGTTTCTCACCAATAATACGAAATATGTATATTGATTTAAAAAGAAGAATTGTAACCAACCTAGTCATAAATATTTTTCATCTTACCTAATTTTTTAACTTATTTTGTCAAGCTAGGCCTTCAGACACATGGCAATTGGGTTGGACAACTTCAGCAAATCTTGTCCCCGTTGTTTGTCCCGCAGCCGGCTGGAAAGAAGTTTTCTTTAATACTAAAAAATTACTCGAAATTTTTCCCGTATTGGGCCAAATATTGCCAGGTTATTCGAAACGAGTTTAGTTCCCGGAATCCGAATTCGTCAAATAAGAACCCCCCAGAAAGAAGAAGGGTCCGGGTTTTACTCCAGGCATAAAACCGGAAACACCTTCTCAACCCAAGTTAGTCTCGTAAACGTGAGAGATAATAAATCACAGCTTACCTTGAACTATTACCTCGAAGGTGACTTTAAAAAAAGCTGTGTTTGTTTTATCATTCTAAAATAAACAAGATGCCCAACAAATCTTCAGCATGTTTACTAAATTAAAAACTCATCTTATTTTTTTAACTATCTACCGTTCAATACGATTCATGATAGAAAATCATATCTGAAGACAGGGAATTTGCTTTCCGGTATACTCAACGCTATTAGCGCCTTTAAACTCGAAACATCTCAGAACAGTCTGGCTTAACACGGTCCCGATCAATTCAAATCATTATAAATTGAGAATCAGATATGACTCAACGGCAAGAGGAGGTAGGTGGATTGTTTGTATACAGAGTTTAGACTGCCTCCTTTCAAAATATGAACTAAATGGTCTCATTACCTATTTTTTATATTACCTAGCATCTTATTTAATTTGTCGAATACAAATGGTTAAATTGAGTAACTTCATCTAATTGTATTCATTCTTCTGTAGAAGTAAATGTCTATAAGTTAAAATTATTTTAAAATAATTAAAGATTATAACAATTATAAGTAGAAATGTGTGGTGATTAGTGACTGTTAATCGATATTTATTTACAAATCGTGAGATGCGGTCTGGTGTGATGTAGGTTTCAGAAAAACATTTTCTTTATTGTGCCAACGTTTCGATGAATTTATACAATGGAAAATATATTTTTTATATTCAATCAAAACATTTCTACTCACTCAAAGTTTTTGTCTTCTGTGTAATTGTGTCACTTTGAGTGAGTAGAAATACTTTGATTGAATATATAAAATATATTTTGTATTGTATAAATTCACTTTTCCACATCCAAAATGTAATTGTAATATGTAAACAATGTTTGTAAATCTCAGGCCCTGAAGATGATCTCAATAAAAATCGAAACGTTGGCACGATAAAGAAAATGTTTTTCTGAAACCTACATCACACCAGACCGCATATCTCACGATTTCTAAATAAATAAAATATTAAAAAAATTATATGCAGTTTTAGTTAATGCTTTACTCTAAGGTTTGCTTTTTGTTTTTTAACACCTTCTTTATACTACGGAGTATATAAATTGCCAAAATTGTTTCAACTTTTAAAAAAGTGTGGAAAAGTTTTACTTTACCCAATCCTGAAAGAGCTTATCTATTACTGAATTCAAGAAATTAATTTTTGTTTAGTCTTCTCTAGAAAAATAAAAGACTTTTGATACAATTTTAATATAAAATTATAAAGTTGTTAAAAAGTAAGAAAAGATGAAATCTTAAAATCTGCATTCTGTCGTTGAAAAGGGGTGTTAAACTTGTAATTATTATGCAAATTGACATTACAATTCAGTAGGATTTCAGGGATTGTAGCAGCTTACTTCTTAAGAAAATCCCGCTCACTATTTTTCAACCCTAGACGCGAAAAATCAAACCTCTTGTTCAAAAAAAATGTGCTTGACTCTATTCTTAATACTCTTTAAATTTAGTTTATTTCATTACTTAAACAAAATTTTAGTTTCGTTAAACGTGCTTATTATTTGGTAATAAGTTTGGTTTAGAACGTTGATAACCATTCCGTTTAATTAAGGGTGTATTTAGAAGATAGTTTTGTTGAGCGTAGGGGACATGGAATGTGGAAGTTATCGGGAGGATCGGTAGGAACTTTGAAGGATATTTAACAGAGGAAGTGGTCGTTGCTTTATATGCTTATGGTTATATTCTCATCAAAGACGAAATCCTATGCAAGAAAGGATTTTATACTCTCTCTGTTGCCCTAGACTACTGCCTGAAAGAAAAACTCCAAATGGATAAAAAAAATGCTTTAGATTAGTCGGAACATTTATGTTCTTAAAGTCTCTAGTATTTCTAATAAACAAACCTGAAATTTTTTAAGCTTTATAAATAGCAATAGTTGTTGTTATTCATAGGAGTTGATGTTAAAAGATTTGACATTAATTTAACAGAAATATTAATCTAAAGGCTAAAACTAAAACCTAAACTTAGACTAAGAGGCATGCATCTCCTCAGAAATTGAGGTAAAGAGAATTATATTGATTTAGTTTCCAGCCTAACTTCATTAGACAATTTAACTAAGTTCTAATTACAGTTAGTAAATAATTACAATATACATATTACATTCACTAGTTCGTGGTCCGCTTGACCAATTAATATCTTACAAGTAATTAAGGTTTTTAGTTGAAATAAAAAAGCCAGTGCCACAATTAAGCTATCGTGACCTCGATCCACCTCGATCAAGTGGTAGAGCAGCGGCGTATCTAGCCGAAGGTCGTGGGTTCGAATCCCGCTTGTGGCACTGGCTTTTCTACCTCAACTAAAAACCATAATTAATTGTAAGATACATAATACATTTATGAACCTAATGAAAAATAATAAATATTACTAAAAATACAAATAACAATTAATTGTAACATAGAAAAAGCCATAATAAAAAATATGAGAATAAATGTAGCAAATAGTAATTATATATTTCATAACAATCTAAATATACTGTAGACAGGAAAACCTTAGTTTAAGAGCATCTATGAAAAAGTTGAATATGCCGTTGGCCTTATTTTTTAATCTATTATTATAATTTTATGTAATGTAATTTTTTACGTGTGATTACATTAGAAAGTGCCTTTTTAAGATACACTACCAAAATGCGACCTTTGTAAATTCACAGCTAGCGAGAGCAACTATCTAATATTGCCTTCCTAAAAGTAAATAAATAAAGAAGGTAAATAAAGTCCCAGACCTTAGCTTTCAAAACTTTACACACCTTCCCTAACCATACTTATTGATTACAGGAAGTGCTAAACCGTAGTCTTCAATACTTCATAAGTACTTGGAGCACGGTCCTAACTTCCTTATAAATAGTACGGATAACTGTCAAAACGTCACCTTCATCATTTCATAAGCTTCATCAAACATCACAATGATGAAAGCAAATTGTAAAATGGAACCTTATTTACTTTATAAGCAGTGAAAGCAAATGATTAACTTTTTCTTCATGAGTAACCTAGCCTTCATACTTCGTAAGTAGTGAAGAGAGCAAGTGGGAAAATGCAGTCAACAATACTTCATAACCACAGAAAATAAGTTGCTTTGCTTTCATAGTAAGCAGCTTTCGTAATTCATATGTAGTGATGAGAGCAAGTGTCAAAACCGTATATTTCATACATAATGAGAGCAGCATAAGTAGTAGAGGCAACCGTCAAAACCCTCATAAAAAATTGGAAGTGCTAAAACTTATTCTTAATATTTCATAAGTATTTATTACGACTTTTCTTTAAGTTGTTAAAAATTTAAATTAATACTTTTAAGCAGCTAAATATAGGTTAAAAGATAAGCTTTTGTTTCTATTTATCTATTCCTCTCTATCCTACACCCACAATTTTTACTAATGTTTAAAAAAACATTCCGATTAAATTCAATATGAAACGCTGGCTGTTTTAAACTTTTTACAACTACATTTTTTGATGCAACAAGTAAAATATAAAGAATATAAGGATATCCCAAAATAGACAATGAACCGGGAAGAGTAAATAACGTTCACCCGAATCAATCAGTGTTTCTATCTCAGAATTATTTTACAGCATATTCGTGGGCCTACTACTTTACAGTATTTATGCGATAAATGGAAAAGTAAGGGAAAATGTTTAAGCTGCTTTCAAAGAACACGGTCTTTTAGAAGACGATGAAAATTAGAGAAAATACCCTTACAGATGCCGTGATATTTCAATCGGGTTTTCAACTGAGAGAATTATTTGTATTCCCTATTAAACTATGTTTCGTGATAGGGTTTAAGGACAAACGTATAAATATGTGGAGCGTAGATACGTAGAATGTTTCTTTCTCACACCGACAATATATGTCGGTGACAAAATAATTAGAGTTTTTGTACAAATAACAAATTTGTAATTAATTATTCAAATTTTCATACTACTGCTAGTTAGTAAATATTTATGATTAGTTAACAACAAAGGCTAAAAATGGCAAAATTTGAGTCCCTTCTCGACTTCGTGCAGATGGACGTTGATTGACTTTCAAAAACAATAATAAAAAGTGTTATTTCCCGGAAAATTAACGAGGCACAATTTCAGTTGTGATAAGATATACTGCAAATTGGATTATAAAAGAAATGTCGACGGTGGATACACTAAAGGGTTTGAAGGATAGGAAGAAAAACTTTCCTAAGCGTATTTCTCATAACGACTTCCTTTCTGAGTTGTCGCGATCTTTTTTATTAAAATATTTAATATAAAAAGTGCTCTTGGTGTGACTGTTGGATATTCATTAAAATGGATTGCCTTAGAAGGCAAAAAATTTAAAGTAAAAAGTTGGCGATTTTGACCTTTTTCACTGTTTAAGAAAGCGACAGCGAGTTGTTTTAAAGACTAATTATGTTCCAGGCGATGCAGAATGTTGTTGATCGCAAGTATCTCAACCAGTGTATCAATACATGCTGACGACCAAGTTCCTCGTACCCAACTTGAGGTGAGCTAATGTGTTCTCAATTCTAAGTCAAAGTTATTATGACTTCATTCTGGTTTTTAACCGACACGATTTATTTAATTAAAACTAACTACTTTTTAATCTATTAGGCAATATAGAGAAATAATTGGTTTAATTTTAATGTGCTTTTTTTGTAATCTATGCAAACACGAATTGATTATAGAATAGTCTGTTGCTGTTTTAATTTACGAAACAGATAGTTCACACAAAATTGTGAAATAAATAAAACGAAATTCCTGTTTGAAGTAAACAATGTTATTGATTTTAATCAAACAGTCCTTTCTTTTACTTATTATTCCACAATGCGAATAATTTTGAAATTTGCAAATCATTCTAGAATGGACACATCATATTCGATTTATGTAATAAACTTGGAACTACCAATTGTAAATAAACGTACACATATGTTAATCATTTAAAATTACAATTAAAATTTTCAGAGTATTGATGACGGCGATTTTTCGAAGCTTCGATATTGAAATAAGTTATAATTAATTAAGGCTTTTAGTTGAGATAAAAAAGTCAATGGCACGAGCGGGATTCGAACCACGATCTAAGACTAGATACGCCGCTGCTCTACCACTTGAGCTATCGTGACCTCGATCCACTCGGACACTAACTTCCCATCTCAACCCCACCTTTTGAATTTTCCCTCCTTTTNCATGTGATATATATATATATATATATATATATATATATATATATGTATACTTATTTAAAATAATATTAAAACAATCACTGATCAAATCTGCACCTCTATTCCTACAAATATCGCAATTGGCCATCATTTAATCATTTATTATTATTGAATAATATTAAACTGACGCCAGTAAAAAAAACTATTGCTGTAGATAGTATTTTGTAGAGACGGCAAATGTTGATTTTTAACTTATTGTTCAAGGGACTTTCCTCCTGTCTGATATTGACATATTGATATCAGCCTTTTTTCCTCCTTCGGTTTGTTTTGATCCAATTCCCAGTGTTTCGAGATCCTTTTCTAGATATGTCGGCTGCAACCTGGCCTTTTTCCCTTAGATAATGGATTGTTGAACGCCCCCCCTTTTTTTAAACAGTACTTGCTCTTTGTACAACAATAACAATATCAAAAAAATTATAACAACCACGATAGTTATTGCACAATGACACACTAGTTTCTAAGAACGACCAATGTACTAACAAACTAAAAATTTATGATTTATTATTTTTTTAGTTAAAAATTTAAATGAGTTTTTATTGTCGATTGACATATAGAATGTAAATGCGTACTGCATGTTAAAGTCGTACAATTTACAGTTAACACATTTTAGTGGATTATATAAACAATTCCCACGATTGAAGGTATTCAACGTCTTTCATATTGAACTAGTTATAATTTTATATTAAATACCAATCGTCTGATTTATTGAACAATTTGAAAGAAAAAAAAATCAATTCCTTCCTCTAGATTTAGATGTTATCAATGTTATTAATTTATTACGGTAAGCAAATTTTCCTAATGTTGAAGCCTATAATTGTAAGCATAATGAAACTACGATTGAACATTGAGGAAGATCAAACATCAATTCAGTTTTCTAATAATCTGTGTGAGGGCATTCTATGATGGGTTATATTATTGTTTGTTATTCATATTAATAGCCTGGCCTAGGAAGTACGAAAAGTTGTAAGCACATAAAACATGAAAATACATAATAAATTACATTAACGAACATATGAGGAATATACGTTCAATCGCAGAATCACGACCAGATAAATCTTCTCAAAAAGTATTTGTAAGGCAGATTTATACAGTTCGATAATAATTAATATAAATTATAATATAATTAAGTATATTATTGTCTTTTGTTCTTTATCAACAGTGACTGAAAATTTAGATCGTAGCTTTATAGTAATTTAGATAGTTTTAGGTTCGTTTTTACTATAAATACCTCCGTTTTTTGTTCGACGGGTTGAGTTTTACCTAAATGCTCTGTTTTCAACGATAGCTTAGGACTCTTGTACCCTTGGCGGCTAGCTTCCAACCTGCATACATCACGGATTTCTAATCTTATCTGGCATCTTAACGCCTTCGGAATTCTCAATTGCCGAGCAAGTCTCAGGCAAAACAGATAGCTTATTTCGGAAATAGAAAAGACAGTTGATACAATGAACCATCGAAAAAAGAGTTTTTAAACAACACTCATTAGGAATGAGTGGCATCGATACTTAGCAATTTTCAAACAGAGTCATCGATGCCCGTTAGTAATGTTTTATAAAAAATAAAATGTTTAATAATAGTTAAATTGAGATCTGTTGTACCAAGGTGGGGAAAATTTGATCAAATCGATTAGTTTAACGTTATGCTGACTTGTATAAAATATTAGTCAAATTAATTTTAATCCAAAATATTTCATATTAATCGTTTGGAAAATTTAACAAAATATAAATTCTCTATAACAATAACCACAATGGATTTATGTATAAATCGTTTCCATTGTTCAATTTTTGTATATCGGGCTTTTTGAATCATCAGGTTAATGAAACGTGAGGTGGAGAGATGAAATTGCCATGGCAGGTTTTACAAACGTGGGACTTAACGGTTGACAGTTCGCTAAACCGGATACCGGGTTGTAGCTAAATAAAAACCATTTGATAACAAAATACTCAAAATAATTAGTAACAGACGTTGAGTCACAAGCTAACAAATCTGGCTTATTCGAGGGTAAAACGACGGAAAATGGTAGAAACTATCAAATGATGAAAAAAGTTTAAAAATACCACATAAAAGACGAAAAGAATTTGTTTATAATTAGGAATTTGAAAAAATATTATTCAATAAAAATAATTAGTTTAACTTTTGAAAGAAAAATATCGATTTTGTACTAATTGTGTCGAAAATAGCAACGATACTTTAAAATGTGTGGTGATTAGTGACCGTTAATCGGTAATTATTCAGAAATCGTGAGATGCTGTCTGGTGTGATGTGTGTTTCAGAAAAACATTTTCTTTATCGTGCCAATGTTTCGATCTTTATTGAGATCATCTTCAGGGCCTGGGATTTACAAACATTGTTTACAATTAACAAATACATTTAGGATGTGGAAAAGTGAATTTATACAATGCAAAATATATTTTTTATATTCAATCAAAGTATTTCTACTCACTCAAAGTGTTTTTCTTCTGTGTTAGGTGCCATTCTTGCCAACGTATATAAACATAAAACTGCAAAATCTCACTGGCAAGCTCAACACGACACGCAAGAATGGCACAATTACACAGAAGAAAAACACTTTGAGAATATAAATACTTTGATTGAATATAAAAAATATATTTTGCATTGTATAAATTCTCTTTTCCGCATCCTAGATGTATTTGTTAATTGTAAACAATGTTTGTAAATCCCAGGCCCTGAAGATGATCTTAATAAAGATCGAAACGTTGGAACGATAAAGAAAATGTTTTTCTGAAACCTACATCACACCACACCGCATCTCACGATTTTTGAATACTTATAAGATACTTTAAAATATGGATTATCTGAAATGTTATGAATACCCTGACGTATCTATAAGTTTAGAAAGGAGAAAAATAAATAAAAGAAATAAAATATAAAAACCCACTTGAAATGCAATAGTTTCAAGATGGGAGAAAGTTCTCGACAAGCCACGGACGTAAATCCTTCCTGAAAATTGAATAAAACCCCGTTTTACTTTACATAACCTACTTTTATTTCAAAATATTTCTACCAAATTGAAATTGAATTCGAAGTTTCAAGTTGAAACAAATTATAATATATTAAGCACCTACGCATTCAAAATTAATTTAAAGCGAATGATGGAAAAGTCAGGAAAATGACATGAAAGCAGTTCCTTATTTATCAAATAAAAATTATCTACGTCAATAAAACAATTTCACTTTTCAAAATTACTTATACTCTTGACCGACACAAATAATTTACTTAAATAGTTTACCTTCTGTTATGTAAGAACAATTTTTCATGCGAGTTCTCGTCACTGTTTAAACTGCTGGGTGAAAAACCTGATATATGGTCGTTATCAATATTCCTTATTTTCTTCCTTTAAACAACTGGGAATTATGAGACGACGCCTAGAAAATAAAATTTAACCAATTAATTAATAACCAAATTCTGATAAAATAAAGTATTAGAAATGGCAGAAAAACCATCTTGGATGAACAAGAATAGCCAGGTGAAGTATCTGCAGGTATCAGAAACAGTGGATATATTTAAACAAAATTTTAACAGGTTGAAAGAAAAGTGAAATTATACAAAAGACGCAGTGATTTATCACATTTAAGATGAAGCGTTGGAATCTCTGGGGCGATGAACTTGTAGTCTGGTCATTTCCGATCATTTCAGTTTGTCTGCGCGGTTCAGTCGGATACTTTCTGGCTTCTCGCCATCTTCCGGGCTTGGTCTGCTGTCCAGACGAGACCGGTCAGACAAACAAAACAGTAACACAGACCAAAATGATCGGAAAACGTACAAACTACAAACTGGACAACCCTCTTCTAATAAAAGATTGTTACAGATTGTAAGGTTGAGTTGAACAAACAGAAGCTAACAAGCTACAATATCCATCTTAAATTTTAACTTTGTATACTATAGTTTCAAATTCAATTCCATTTTCATTTCTACTTTCTCGACATTGAAGAAACCAGGGTTCTGGACTGGGCATTAACAACTCAATAGGTACATGAAAATATTGCCAGTGGTCTACTTACATTATGGGAGAACGTAGAAGAAATCACAGTTCTTTACCATTAAAGAGTTTAAAGAGTGAAGATAACTATAATCCATACGTGGAAGAGAATACAGTACACAGAGAAGAATGCAAAACGTCGAAACACGTCAGACAGGTCAACAAAATGAAGATAGGCAGATCTCGACAACGATCACATTTCAACGATTCCTCTGCAAAGATTCTATGATTTTGCCACAAATTTTGCCTTTTTGTTATCTGCAGACCATTTCAAAGTGTGTTTTT